TGCCTCCAGTAAAGAACATTAAAAATGAAAATTACTCTTAATTAAAAACACTCATTTATTGAACGGTATGTAATAATTTCATATTAAAAGTACTTTCAGAAGTTTGAATTCTGAATATGACCAGACTTTTCCTTTAACTGGGAGGAAAATTCCCACTGAGCATCATATCCCTCTGGAGTTGGGGAAAAAGAGTCCTCAGTAAATCATAACTGCTCTTGAAATAAAGCAGCAAAAACAAAACGTTTAAAATGTAAGCATTAAATAGCTTTGTGTGGTTTATTAGTAAACTGTTTACTTCTTATAGCTCTTGGTGCTAAAGTACGTGCAGAATAAAGACGTGTTCATGCGATACCACAAAGCCCACCTGACCCGCCGTCTCATCCTGGACATCTCAGCCGACAGCGAGATCGAGGAGAACATGGTGGAGTGGCTCCGGGTACCAAACTCTTCGTACTCTACGTGTGATTCTAATACCGACTGGTTATCAGTTACCGAGGACCTGAACCTGTGATGTCATCTCTCATTACAGGAAGTGGGAATGCCAGCTGATTATGTCAACAAGCTGGCCCGAATGTTCCAGGACATCAAAGTGTCCGAGGATCTGAACCAGTCTTTTAAGGAAATGCATAAACACAACAAGCTGGCTTTGCCAGGTAAAACCCATTTCTCTGCAGCCAGAACCGGGTCTGGTATTTTATATTATTTTGAAAATCTCTCACTGCATTACTGGGCCTGACTGGGATGAAGTGATGCACAGCATTTCCAAGAGCTCCTTAATTTTTTATTTTTTTTTTTATTCTTTATTTTGAACATGCAAGAGAAAAACAAAAAAACAATAAAACAATGTTTAAAACATTGGAGAGAAAAACATCAAACAAGGTACCCTTCTTTCCTGAGTTAATATACCGTACCTCTATTACATGTGCGAAAAGGAGTAGGAAGAAGTAAAACTTATGTACTCCTACCACTTTAATTCTTGTATTTCTTCAATTTACAATATTTATAATTATGTTGCTATATATATCCATATAAATACATACCTACCTACACATATACATACATAAATATGTATACACATATACCTTCATACATGTATACAAATAAATAAAACAAAAAACACAAACAAAACTTTCTACAATGCTTCTCTATACCTTTTGAAAATAATTTCTTTGTACATTTTTATGAAAAGGAATATGTTTGGGCATTGCTTTAGGTTCTCATTTAGTTTGTTCCACAATTTAACTCCGCAAATTGATAAACATAATCTTAATTTTAGGTTAAACGCAGATAATCTTCTCTATATTCAAAATCAACTACATTTGTTTTTGTGTCTCTTTGTGACACATTTTGATGCCAGGATTGTAGTAATATGATAATAACAGTAATACAAACAAAAAGTAGCAAGATTTGCTGCTTTTGCCTTTTTTGTTTTAAGTCAAGAATTCCTAAATGAAGTACAAACGGTGCCTGTGTGTTAATTGGTTTATAGAGTACTAAGAGATGGTAGCTAAAGAGAATAAATAAATGAGAACATAGTGAAAGCATACATTACAAACTATTATGTATTTTGTTTACAGTTATATTTTTATTAACTTATGTTCGTTTCCTTCCAGCGGACTCGGTCAACATAAAAATCCTAAACGCCGGCGCGTGGTCCAGGAGCAGCGAGAAGGTCTTTGTGTCTCTGCCAACAGAGCTGGAGGATTTGATACCTGAGGTGGAGGACTTCTACAAGAAGAACCACAGCGGCAGGAAGCTTCACTGGCATCACCTCATGTCCAACGGCATCGTGAGTCTAAAAAATCAGCATCAAATAAAGGAAAACATGCCCTGACTTCTATATTGAACTTTATAAACTAAGTCAACAGTTTTAGACTGTCTGAGAGAACATAAGGACTGTTGGCAGCAGGGCTTCAGGCCAAGCATGGGGCCACAGTGGAGGGGAACACTTTCCTTTTGCTGATGAAAGGGCTGTCAGAACCCTCCTCCATCTGAATCAATTATCGTCAGCTGAAAAGAAAGCAGACCCTACAAATAAATCATTATTTCATGTTTTTACTACGCTTGCTCTTTTTATCCTAAAAGCTCCTAAAAACATACAGAAGCAGATAGGGATGGAACGGTTTATGAAAACCGTCCGAACCGTTCGGTTCGACTGT